ACGGTCCCCACTCTGCTCCTTCCCCCCAGAGCCAAGGGCTGTGGGCCTGGGGAGGGAAGGCAGAAGGGGGGGCCCTCCTCACCATCTGGGAGTGGGCTTGGGAAGGGAGGGGAGGGGAGGGAAGGGGAGGGAAGGGAAGGGAGGGGAAGGGCAAGGAGTGAGCCTTGACCTGGGAGTGACAGGAAGCAACAAATCAGGAGTCAAGCTAACGAGGAGCCTACGAGGAGCCTATGAGGAGCCGAGCCCTCAGTGATTCAAGGACACTTGCAACTTTGCTTGTTTACAGGGCTCTTCCTGGAGAGGTGCCCCCCCCAAGCCTGCCCTGAAAAAGCACCAGAGGCAGAGCCAGGAGAGGGAAGGGGTGCCTGGCCCCCCATCCCAGGCAGCCAGGCCTCCCTCATCTGGGCGTGGCCCTGGCTCCCGCTCCTGCCAGGGCCTCAGAAGGAAGCGGCTGGGCTTGACATTGGATCCGCAGGCCTGGTTTGGTTTCACTTCGCTTCTTGCTTCTCCCTCCAGAGATCAGAGCGCTCAGCTGAGGAGTGGGGACTGAAAGGACACTCTGGGTCACCAGAGGGAGCTGCGTGACCGGGACTCACTCCAGGGCAGGCGGTAGATCCGTGTGGGTCCTGCCACAGCACGTGGGGGTGGGGTGGAGAGCACAGACCCAGACTTGCCCCCACACTCGGGTGACAGGAGCTGGCGCAGCCACACTGGGCAAGGTACTTGTGCCTCAGTTTCCTCATTAGCTTTCAAAGATCCCACCATGGATGGCTTAACCTTACTGTGAGGGTTCAATAAGCTACCGTACAGAAAGCCCTGAGCTCTCGGGCGCAGGGCGCGCACCCTCGTGTGTCTGCTGCGCTGTGTGGGGCACCGGCACGCGTTCTGCCCTCTGCAGGTGCCCTCTGCCTACCCCTTGAAAAGTAGGAGGAAAATTCCAGCATCCCCAGTGAACACTCTGGCCACTCTCACACCTAAGTTCAAAGAGGACATGTTATTAACCTGGGACACACACCTCCAGGGTTGCCCAAGGACACCTAAGCCAAAGGCTCCAAGGCTGACCCCTTTCCAAGTCTGTGGGGGTCCCCAGGGTGCAACTGTGATGCTGGTGTGTATATGTGTGTGTGCGTGTGTGTGTGTGTGTGTATGTGTGTGCGCGCGTGCGCTCCAAGCTTCTGAAGCCCAGGTCCAGACTACAGTCCCCACCAGCTGGGGGGCAAGCAGCCTGAGACTGGGTGTCTCCCCCTCTGGCTTCCCTCCTCCCCTCTCCACTTTTCGCCTCCACGATGCAGGACGAAGGAGCCTGGCTTCCTGCGGACAGGACTTAATCCCTGTCTGACTTCAGTTTGAACAGAGGAAATGAGGTGCAGATGAGGAGGGCCCTGGTTGCTACCAGCAGCAAATAATGCACGAAATCTCAGCATGATCACCCCCCCCAATAAAATACAGCCTGGTCCCGTGGGCCTAAGCGGATTTCCATCAGAGGTGTCCATGAATCATGCCGCCAGCCCTGAGGAGACTCCCTGTGCTCGCCGCCTCTCTACTCCCAGTATTTCACCGAGCCGTAAACCCCACGGGGCGTGGCGGGGACACCAGGCCCTTTGGATGCTTCAGGACTGAGGGGACAGTCTAAGGAGCAGAGAGGGGATGCACTGAGCAGGAAGCCGAGGGTGAAGAGGAAGGGGGCACAGGGAGCAGAGCTGGAACACAGCCTGGCTTCGCTGTCACTGGGAGCTCGCCGACCAAGTTCAGCTGCCACGAGACCCGCATGGGCAGAGGTTGAAGGGGAACCCGGACTCTCCCACACTACCCTCACCTGACCCAAAAGGAAGACCCTTCCTCCTCTCTGGAGGCTAAGTGAGACCGCCAGTGCCCCCGTTCCCACAAAGGAGGGCTCTGGATACCAGGGCTGCCACCCTGGCCTGGGGCCCGAGCTGCCAGTGGGCAGTGCCTGGGGGTCTGTGCACCATAAAGGAAGGAAGCTCAAGGCTCTGAAAGAGGCATTTTTCAAGATGGGGCTTTGAGGACACAGCGAACGGGAATGTTGGAGACTAAAGGCTAAGCTTCCTTCACAACACACTGCAAGCAGAGAGGACCATGTCCAGCTACACAGGAGCCCCTCCCAGCACGACCACCCAGTCCCTGTCCAAAGACAGCCCAGGCCTACCCTCCCTGGTGCACCCGGAAGTCCTGGCTGGAGCTGACCCTCTGCCAGAATCCAGGGTTTGGTGGAAAAGCCTCCAGGTCCACAGGTCAGAAGACCTGAGCTGGGGTCAGGTTCTCAGCTTCCAGGACAAGGTTGCTCAACCCCTCTCCCTCCGCCCCCAAGCTTATCTCTGGCATCAACCCAGATCCTGTTCCTCCAAGGGACAGGCTCCTCCCTCCCCCACAGGGACCAGCTCCTGGGAGCTGTGGAACGTCCTGCCAAAGGAGGCCAGAGTCACTGCCCACAGCAATCCTGGGTGCTCTGGCCTCTGAGCCCTCCACTCCCAACCAATCCAAACTGAGGGGGAGGGAGACAGATTGAGGCTGCTAACACCTTGCCTGCCACACCTAGGCACAGCCTGTCCTGGCCACAGAAATCAATCAGCCACTCCAAAGGTGGAGGGGGTTGGACGGCCTGAACCGAGCCAACCGCCCTTCTGGGAAGGCTCCGGACTCCTAAAGAAGGATCTGGATGCTCCTCCCAGGTCGGCTTTGGCCTGTACTCCCTCTGCCCCATTTGGTAGATCAGACTCATCTGCTTGGGTCTCCCTGGCTGGGTCTGGGCATCAGTGTGTGGATGTAAGAGAGAAATGAGGGGGGAAAGGTGGACATCCCAGAAAATGGAAGAAACGCTCAAGGTAGAGGCCTCAGCTAGAAAGTGTAACAAACAGAGCACTCGGCCACCAGTGACCAGGGGCCTGTGAATTCAGAGAGAACAGAGGGGCTGGGGCTCACCCCAAACTGCCAACTCCTGGGAGCAGGCTCATTTTATCTTGCTGGCCCCCTCCCAGGAACCCCAGGAAGACCAGAATGAGCCTGAGTATCTCCCAAGGTTCCCCAAAACCCTCGTGGGAAGGAGCAGCTGTCTTCAAGGAGTGGAGGGGTGAAGTCCAAGTTGGGAGATAAACCACTCTAATCTATTGGGTCACATGTTCGTTCACACAGGGCACCCCCACACTCAGCAGGGTCCTAGCTACCCCACGAGTGGCCTGCATGCAGATGCCTTCTTTATTGCTTCGGGAGCCCTGGGGCCACGGAGAGGTCTGGCTGGGCCCAGCCTGGCTTCCCTGAACTCCCGTTTTGGGGGAAATCCACAGCGCGGCTCTCTCGCTTCCTTTGTGCCCTGTTCTTTGTTCTCTTTAAAATTCAGTCCACCCTGCCGGTGGTCCCCTCCTCCACCCCAGCCTCAGAAAGGGGCGGAGGCGTGGGGAGTTATTAGAAACCCAGACTGTGCAAAGTTGCTTTGCGGGAGGCCCTCCTGCAACGCGGCCCCTCATTGTTTACGATGCTGGATGGGGAAAGCTTTCTCCGGTCCAGATGGCTCCTGGGGGTAAGGATGACGGACCCCGAGCCCTCTAGAGAGAGGCAGGGGCTTCACAGCTCAGGGACCCTTTCTCCATTCAGCTGCTCAAATACAAGGGCAAAGAGTGGGCAGCGCGGACGCCATCGGGGGCCGTGGGAGCCGGTCAGATTGCAAGGGGAGACAAGGAAAGAAAAAGCATTGTATTTCCCCTCCATTCTTCCAGGGAGAGAAAGAAAACTTCCACAAGCTCAGGCTGCAGTACCTCATGGGGAAACACAAGAAATCTGGTTTGAGTTAGCAGAGAGCTAACCCCTCCCCCAGTCTCACGCACAGCCCGGGCTTCGGCTGGGTCCTCTCCCAGGAAGCCCGCCCAGCCTCAGCCCTCCAGCCCCCCAGCCCCCCAGCCCCCCAGCCCCCCGCTCCCGGTTCCCGCCCAGCTCTCTCGGCCCGGGGTGGTCACCGGCGGCGGCCCAACGCACAGGACAGCTGGTGGGGGACGCAGCGGGGCAGGGGGCAGTTCTGTACTCCCGGCGGGGGCGCTCCACCAAGGGGGCGGAGCCGGAGCCGGCCGGTCGAGCTCCGACGCCCTAAGCGGGAGATTAAATCATTAACTCCCAGCTCCCGGCCCGAGGCCACGCCAGAGCTCTCCGGCCCGGGTTGCCGGCGCGCCGGTCCCACGCGTGGGTCCCACCGCAGGCTCCCCAGGGCCGCCCGCGCGGCGGGCCCCACCCCGCCAGCCTCCCGGTCTCCCAGCGGAGGCGGGCGCGGTGGAATCCGGGCGGGGAAGGAAGGGCTCGTCCGTGAAGGAGGCGGGGGTGGGACGCAGGAGAGTATTTCCTTGGCCATTCCCTTCCGAGCAGCTCCTTCCCTCTTTTCCTCAGCCCAGGAACACAGGGTGGCGTGTGCTGCAGTGTGTGTACGAGAGCGAGAGCGCGTGTACACGCCTCGGCCACGACAGGCGAATACTCGGGTTTTTATTCTCGGAGAACTCCGTGCGCGCACACACGCCCCCCTCGGGGACACGGCAGGCTGCGCCCGCGGACGCCGGTGCCGACACACACCCCACTCCCGGGCGGCGGGCGGACCTTCAGGCGCGGGCCCCCGTCTCACCCCACCCTCACCCCACCCCCACCCCACCCCACCCCAGCAGCGCTCTGGCCGGGCCGGGAGCCCCGGTCTGGGGAGAGGAAATTGATTCCGAGCGAGAATTTGCCCGGCTCTCTGCCACCCCCGCCTCCCCAAACACCGCTCTGCTCGGACACGGGCACGGCTTCCGGCCCCGGCCCCGGCCCGGACTCCAACCCTGCCACCCGCGGACGGGAGTGGAGAGACCCCGCGGCGCGGAGGAAGGGGGTCTCGGTGCCCTGGTCCCCGCCCCACGGCCCCTATCGCGGCTTTTTCAATCCGTTCTGCCTCCCTAGGAGGGCTCGAGCCCCCCCAAACCGAGCCCCCCGGGCCTCGCAAGGCGCAGGTGTCTGTCACAGGCGCCTACCTGGGTCCCCAGAGACGCGGACGGCGGGCGGGCACCGCTGTGCTCTCCGCTGGGTGGGCTCCGTGCGGCGCCGGGGCGAGCGGCCCATGTCAGCGCCGGCGCCTGTTTCCCTCTCTCGGCTCCCAGGGCTGGAGCCGCCGGGACACTCCCCTTCCAGGCCCCGCCCGCACCTCCTCCCCCGAACCCCTCCGCGCTGACATCACGGCGCCGCCGCAGCCAATGACCGCTGGGAACCTCGGCCCGGCCGCTCGGCCTCCACGGTTCAAATCTGTGAGCCGAGACTTTCGGAGCTGAACGCGGTGGCCCAGGCTAGGGCCGGGCTGGGGGTGGGGGAGGACTCCGGGGCGCCCCCGCCTCGAAGCGCTCCCGACCCAGCACCCCCTGGGGCCCTGGGGCCAGGGGCGCGACTCTCCCCGGGGGGCCCAACGCGAGGTACTCCCGAGGCTCTTCCCTTTCGGAACAGTGATCAGACACCAGTACCCCCACCTCTCGCCCCGACCCGTACCGACGGGAAGTGGGAGCCGGAGGCGGGGGTCGGCGCCATCTGGGCCAGGGATTCCGTCCCAGACGCTCGGGAAAGGAGCGGGGCGGGAGGGGCCGGCCTGAGGCCAGCCTCGGACTGGGCGTGAGGAGGGTGTCCTGTCTGTGATCGTCCTGCCTTCGGACTGTGCGCCCTGCCAGGTCACCTGCGGTGGCCAAGTTCTGCTCCGAGTGAGGCCGAAGGGGATGAACTCCCGAGTCCCGGGGCCTGCATCCCATGAGAAGCAGGCCTTGGGTTTGAGTCTCTAGAGAAATAGCTTCCATCTGTGAACGGTAACCACCGACCAGTGTCAGCCGTGTAACAGTCCACAGAATGGACGCAACACAACGTCCAAGTTCCCTTGCTGTTAGCTGCTCCCTCGGTTGGGTTTTCAAGGAAGGGGGTGGAGGGGTGGAGGCTTCGTTCAGGTCCCCTCCTACCTATGTGGCCTTGGATGGGGCCCCTCAGTGGGTCCATTTTCGCTAGTACTTTCCCCTCATTGCTGCCAGTCGTAAATCCTCCCCCTCGCCCCCCCCCCCCCCAATCTCCATCCCAGGTCAAGTCTTATAGTCACAAGAAAACTCCCGATGCCTGCAGGCCCCTCCCGCCTTCTCTTTCCCTCCATTTAAAACAAGTGATCTTGTCTTTCGGGCTAGCTGACTGTAACCTGTTCCTTCCCCGGGTGTCAGGGATTGGCCTTCACAGTAACCTTGCTACCAATTAAGCATAGCCGCGGGCCCTGTCCGCCGACTCCGCGTGATTCTTCCGTCCCTTCTGGAAGGAGTGCCCTGCCTTCGAGGCTCCTCCCACCAACAGGAACATTCCCTGGGGTTTGCCTGCGGTTGAGGAAAGCCCATCCTGCCGCAGGAGGCCCGCAGTGGCCCCAGGCTGCCCAGGGAGGGAGCTCAGATTCTTCTAGACCCTGCTGGGCCCTGGTGGGAGGCTCGATTGGAAGAAAGTGCTCATTTTCTCTCATATTTGGAATCCCAGACCTGTGCATTTGGAGTGGCCTTTTCCTCCTCCTTAACCGCTGACAAGGAAGTTTTTCTCCAGCCTTCCAGATCAGAGCTCTCTCTCGATAATCAGAGGAAATTAAGAAAATAAAAAACTTGAAGCTTGAATTCCTGCCTTGAAGTTTCTGACACGCTCTCAGCCCCCGACTCTGGAGAGGGATTGCAGGTCTTAACTGCACCTTCGGTGTAACTTGACCTGTAAGTCCTTAGGCCTGGCACAAGTCCCTGCCTGTCCCAGGTGCCCGGGCCTGCCCCTGGGACTTGGGCACAGGTGATCTGACACCTCCCAGTTTGTTAGCACTGGGTTCTGGGCACTGTCGCTAGGATCATTGTGCCCGACCCCACTAGGACCCATTACATTGGTTAATCCTATTTCCTTATAGAAAAGTTGGAGGCCCCACTCACTCTAGTCTGGCATTTGCTATAAAGACAGACTCTTGGCTGGTCATTTTATTTTCTGGACTAAGCTCATCTCCAAGACCCCATCCCACACAAATGCTCTATGACTTCCCATCTCTATCCTGAGCCTACCAACCCTCCCATCCCCCCCCCCCCCCCCCCCCCCCCCGACTGAGGTCGTCAGGTATAGTGCTGACTGGACACACCTCAGGGTGTCACCAGGACCCGAGGCCCCGCCCACCCTGGGCCATGTACTGCCACCCCTGGGCAGAGGCTCTTTCACTCTGTTCCCTGTTCTTGGGAACCACCTGGAGCCCTTTCATAGACGGGGCCACCTCTGCTGAGCAGCCTGGGTAAACCCCCAGGATACCCGGGCTGGGGCTCAGGACGAGGCCCCCCACCACTGTGGGGAAGAGCCCCAGGCTCCAGGGGAGAACCTCCTCCGCGAGAGTTCACACACATCAGGGCTCCGAGGCAGCCCGCTCACACAGAGTGAAACATCAGTTCCCCACAGCTGCCTGGAGACAGGGTAGTGTTCCACTGCTATTTGAGTCCCCGCGTGGGCTGGCACATGGTGTGTTGGCTAAATGAGTGGATGAGCAGAGCCCTCCCTTCTCCCGCTCACAACCCTAGCCCCAAACAGCTCTGTCTGGTAATCTCCTCGCTGAGCCAGCTACAGGTCACACATCCTCCCAGGATGGCAGCGCCCAGGCTTGGGGTGAGGGAGGTGCTGTGTCTCAGCGGACCCGGGCTCGGGGGAGAGATGCGCTCACCAGGCTGGGGGCGCTGGGAGCCCTGTGGGCAGGAGGCATGCATAGTATGGTTGAATTAGGCCTGAGCAGGTGATGCTGTGGGTCAGGGGTAACAGCAGAGCAGAGAGCCACAAGTTTACTAGAAACAGGTCCAGGTATGGGGTCAGAACACCTGGGTCGTGTGACGATGGAGAATCCACTTGTCCCTTTGAGTGCTGTCTGTAAGGGTGGTAACAATCCAGACCCACAGGAGGTTACCAGAGGCTAGCAACAAATAAAGCATGTGACCTTGCTTTGTGAACTGTCACGTCCAATGTAAGGGACCCTGGTTACTATATTATTATTGCTAAGTCATACTTGAGGATTCTGGGGACCCGTGCTGTCACCTCCATCCTTCTGCCAGGGAAAGGACAGGTGGCACAGGCCCCCCAAACCCCACCTAGGAGTCCTGTCTGTCGTGTGCAATGTCATGTATTAACACACTACCCCAGGCCACGGAGCATGGGCATTTCCCGGGAGGCGGGAGGTGACACCAAATGTCTTGCCTATCCGGGAGGGAGAAAAGGATGGGCAAGAGAGCTCTAACCAGAGCTCTGGCTGCTCCGCCAAACAGTATAAACTTCAGCTAAAGGCAGTGTGGTTGGAAGCAGGGACCCTGCAAGGAATGTTTTGTGTGGTCCCAGATTTCTGAAGCCCAGAGTTGTTGTTTGTTTTTAATCCTCACCCGAGGATATTTTTTCATTTATCTTCAGATAGAGGGGAGGGAGGGGGGGGCATTGAAATGAGAAAGACGGGTAGATTGGTTGCCTCCTGCAGGACCCTGACCAGGACCGGGGACCGAACTGCAACCGAGGTACGTGCCCTTGACCAGAATTGAACCGGCAACTCTTTGGTCTATGGGCTGCCACTCTAACCGCTGAGCCAAACCGGCCAGGGCCGAAGCCCAGAGTTTTACCCACCAGTGCCCCCGTGACAAGTGGAAGGACCCCTCAGCAGGGGCTCCTCTGGGTGCTCTGAGGGCCCGAAGGTCAGGGTTAGGAGCACAGGCCCCAAAGTCAGACAATCCCGACCGTCACTCTGTAACCTAAGAGAAGTTACTTGAGCTCCATGGGGCTCGGTTTTCTCCTCTGTAAATGGGGGTCACGTGGGCACCCTTGACTTGAGGTTGTTAGATAATGCAGGTCAGAGGTCAGCATAAAGCTGGAACTGCATGGAGGGCTCCCCACACAGATGCCAGCCTGTCTCCCAATTCAGAGCCTAGGGGAGACCTTCTGGAACAAGCTTGTTCCTGGGCATCCTCAGGCACAGTGTGGGGCCCTCCCTTTCGCGTTTCCTAGAATTGAGCTAACAGAAAAAATGAACCTCATTATCTGCAAGAGGCAGTCCTGGGCTTCTGATAACGGAATCTGTCCGGCGCTGGGGACTTCCCAGACCTTTCTGTCACTGTCTCTGTGGAGGGGTGGGCAGAGACCCAGCCCTGCTGGAGGGCAGCCACACCCCCTCCTGGGCTCCCAGACAGATGGTAAGAACAGGGCCCGGGGCGGGGGAAGGGGGAGGGTCTGTTTGTGCCCGGAAAAGGGCTTTGCCTCTCCCCTCACAGGCGCATGCCAGCTCACAGGCGCATGTCTCAATAAGAGCACAGAGAAGGCAGGTCACCGTCTTGCTGAGCACTTGACTGTGGGCTCGGCGTTCTGCATCTCGCTCCCACTGTTCAGATACAAACAGAAAAGCTAAATACCTTTTCCCAGCCTGGCCGGTGTGGCTTGGCAGTTGAGCATAGACCCATGCACCAGGGGTTGCCGGTTCGATTCCTGGTCAGGGCACATGCCCAGGTTGGGGACCTGATCCCCAGTGGAGGGCATGCAGGAGGCGGCCAATCGATGTTCTCTCTCATTGATGTTTCTTTTTTATTTATTTTTATTTTTCTATCCTCACCCAAGGACATTTTTCCATGTTTGTTCAGATAGAGTGAGACAGAGGGGGAGAGAGAAACATCAACGCGAAAGGGACACATCGAGTGGCTGCCTCCCACACAAACCCAACTGGGGCCGGGGACAAACTGCAACCGAGGTACGTGCCCTTAGTGGGAACCAAACCTGGGTCTCTCTGGACCATGGGCTGACGCTCTAACTACTGAGCTGAACCGGCCAGGGCATCATCGATGTTTCTATCTCTCTCTCCCTCTCCCTTCTTTCTCTCTCAAATCAATAAAGAAAAAATATTTAAAAATAAATGCATACATACATACATAAACACATAAATAAATAACTACCTTGCCAGAGGTCATGTGGCGAAGCCCAGCTCCTAGACTGCAAAGTTCTCAGCAGGCTGGCCCCGGAGCCCACAGTTCTAGCCACAAAACCACGAGGCAGCAGGAACGGAAACAGGTTCTAGCTGA